ACGCAACACTTTATTGCAACATAGTTAGGGGTTTTGGCAAGAAGGGTAAAGTTCTGAAACGTTTTACCGATATGTCAGGAAGCACGGGTATTTTCTCTTGGAATTGTCTGGAAGCGAAGGCTTTTTCTTTTGATCACCCTTTGTATTCAACAACATTAGATCAACCTAAAAAGTCATATGAATTCGTTTTCATTAGCAACTCAAAACGCGCTTCCAAGTACTATTTCTGCGCCAATGTTTATACATATGTTTTTAATTTATATAAGTTATACAGATATTTGGTTAAAGACACTTACCATTATCATCACAATATCGCCACATTTCTTAGAAATAACTTCATGGCAACTCTTTCTTGTGTTCAGGAAGAAAATGAGTCTTTTAAGCTCAATGTAGAACTACACAACTACTATCAGGCGCTGCCGTTAGTTGCCTTTGTTAAAATGTGCTTCGTTGCGCATTCTTCAGTTAATACATACAATCAGAGCCGAGCAAGTCTCCTGCAGTGTGAATCTGAGTAAGGATTGGTTTAAACCATAAACTGTGAATATCAACAATATAAGATGAACAATATCTTTACCGATTGAAAGCATTTTGTGGGGGTAGTTTCTCTGCTTTTTCCTATTTTTTCGTTCAATTTGCATTTCAGCTGCACAAATCTCTTTTAAATAATTTACTGTGCAAGTTTTTAAGAATTGTTTTGAATTGCCTGAATAGTGGCAATAGTTGTCCGTTGACTCAACGCTAGATTTACGGTTTGTAACGTCAGAAGACACCCTAAGAAAAAATTTTACTAGAAGACCAAAAGCCCATCAACAAAAACATTACGTTCTTTTGTGGTTATATGGCTATTACAAAATGTTCAACAACGATAAGTATTTAGAAGATTTTTACAACTTTTCTGTTATTTTGTGTATAGTTTTTTATTCTATTTCGATTAAATTTACATTAATTTGCAAACAGACGCTTTAGTTTCATCATTCTACGGGTTTTTGTTCATCTCCGAAGCACCGTCTGCTTGTCTTGTTTATTTGTGACTAAAATTAAAAGTATTGATAGAGAAGAACAGGATCTAATTGTTCATTATTATTTTCATTGATCTAGATTAGTTTGGCGGGTGTGGTTTTGTTATTTTCTGTTATAAATAGCTTGTTTCTTCTGCCAGTTTTTTTACTGCTTACAAATCTTTGTCAGAGACATCCTGTAACCACTGTGACTCAATCACTGCGTTTTGAATCTGTAAAATATTTCTAGTTGTAATTTTCTCATACTGTAAAAATTATTTGGCAAAACAAACAAAGAAATTTATTGGTAATTTCAGATAGATTTCATCACTTTTTGGTATTTTTAATAAGTACATTTCTTAATAAAGAATGTACAAACATAACGAAATTAACTAGAGTTATATCTGGTGATATAAATAAAAGTTTACAGAACTTTCACTTTGACTCCGTGCTAGCCAGATAGTATATTTGTATCGAACCAAATGCAATTTGATGTTTGAATTATACGTCGAACTAAATATGCCGAACCTAACACCGTTTTTCAGTCATCCATCGGAAGAACGTTTTTTTACGTATTCAACACTGAATAAGGCTCGCACGAAGATAATGCGCAAAACGCGTAATTTGTTAAAACAGAGTAATAGTCAGAGAGAGGTTTACCTACCGATATGTAACCGCCTAAAGAAGCAGATGTGATTTGCTAAGGTTCGTGGTCATGATATCTAGAGTCCAGCTTAAAGTACCGAGATTCGTTTTCATTATTGATTAGTAAAATCGCGTTTCCAAGGAAAACTACTGCGTCATTGAGCAGATGTTTGGGTATTTAC